ATTCATTCAGTAAAGTTTGTAGTAACTTTTTTTCTATATATTTGAATTTACAACCCCTTCTACATAGCTAATACTATTGAGGATTTGTAGTCGTTTTTCAGGTTATTGATCATATTCATGTAAACACAAGTGGACAAAACTGTCAGTATGACCATAGCTATTCTTCTTGTTTGGAAAGATAATTTAAAGTAAAAGCATCTTAGTGACCTTTGTGGTTGGCTGTTTATGATGTGACATAGATGATGTGCATGCTGAAAATTCTCTGGCAATCTTATTTACACATGTAAGTGATCATATTCCTCAAACACATGCTGCACTCACGCTTTCACAACTCAAACCACAATAACCGCTCTAGACAAGACAACTTCATGTCATCAATCAAAGGTTCTGTAAACGATCCTCACTGCCACTAGATGTCGCACTAGACCACCAGCATCTCAGACCAAAACAAAATTATTATTATTTATTGTAGAGAAGCAAGAACAAAGTATACATTCAGTGTATACAATCAAACAAACAGTCAGAGTATACAACAGAGCATGCAACATACAAAACAGCCAGGGGAATTAATTGTGGGATTATACAAAAATACATAAACAGGTACATATGTCCAAAGTTTTGCAAGCATTTTTGTTATTGGAGTTAGATATTGATTCAGTATATTGTTCCACATCTTCAACAAAAACATTTAAATAATTTTTTTTATTACTGAATCCACATTTATGGATACAACATTTTGCTAATAAGATTAATACATTTATTATAAAAATGTATTCATCATTCTTTTTTTGGTTTCTAAAGAAACAAAACACCACATTTTCCATAAATGACAATGACAAATCCGCTGAAGGCTCTCCAGAATTTTTGTGTGAACAAACAACGCCAGAAAAGAAACCTCTTCCACCTTATTTACAATCAAGTAGTTATGAGGAATCATCCAGACTTTCTTCCAATTGATATAATGAACATAGTGGTTCCAGTATGACATAACATATGGAAGAGAAACAATATCTTTCTGAAATACAGACCAAAACAAATGCTTCATTGGGTACACTTCCGGCCTCTGTTTGTCTACAACCCCCTCCTCACAGTTTCAGTCAGCAAAGTGTTACGAAGCCCAGTGAAAGCGGCCACTAAATTCACAGGAAGAAGCACAACTGAATGAAGTTATCCTGTGTACACTATCACTCCACTATACCTTCACATAGAAAACGTGTTAATAGTAAATAGAAAGTTGTTTGCTGCTAACTAAAAACTGAACCATTTCCAGATTTTGTAATTTTAATCTTGATCCAGGAAGTTGGTCATTGCATTGCATTGAGCTCATCTAGTTCCAGTAACCTCACTGTGTTCCCACTATTTGTCATTTCAGGCCAGAGGATGGGGAGATCCACCCTGAGATCTGTAGGCTCTTCATCCAGCTGCAGTGCTGTCTGGAGATGTACATCACCGAGATGCTCAAATCTGTCTGCTTGCTGGGCTCCCTGCAGCTCCACAGGAAAGGTTATTACATGAAGACGCCTCATTGGAACTATTGCTTTAAACTAGCTTCCCTATAGAGTTTGTGCATGTATCAGCGTGTGTTTAGTTGTGAGCATATGCACGTGTGCTGATTTATACACCGCATACCTTGTTTTTTACTTTTTGATTTTAATTGGTGTAAAATAAACAACCAAACAATCACAAAAATTTAAATGGATGAATGTCACCACAAGCAGCCTAATCAACAAACCTGAATATATGTGTGCAAATACATACCAGTAGCCTACTTTGTACATTTAATGAAGTTTACAATGATCATGTGATCTGATGGATAGTATTAGGCCAGCTCTTGTTTTGTTTTTTCCCCCTCCTTTTCTTTATGTTTTGATGGATGTTGTGGTGACACAAGATTAACTACTCTCTCTGTGCTTTAGGTAAGGATTCCTGTGGCCCTCCCGGGGTCGACACTAAGACCGAGGAGAGCTCAGACATCCCCATCCTGGAGGACACCTCTTCCTCCCCCACTGACTGTCCTCAGCTCTGCTGGCTGGTGGCCACTGACATAGAAAACATAGAAAAGTAAGTGGACAAAAAAAATGCATTGCAGTGTGTGTTGTGTCCTTTCATGTGTGAATAATTGGTGTGTTGTTTGTGTTTATTTATTATGGTGTGATGAAATGTACATGTCTTTGTCAGTCAAAGCACATGTGTTAGAAAGTTCTTAAATTTTTGTAACATTATAATGACACTTTGCAGGATCGAAAAGATCACACTGATTCTAATTCTGAATATTTATTTTTATAGGACATTCTATAAACACAAATCAGACACAAGAGCAGACAACAATGTAATGTAATGCAATGTAATGTAACGTTTGTGGTTGTTTTTCATAATTGTGTGGAACATTTTATATTTATAAAAAAAATTTATATATAAACTAGTTTTTACTTATGATGCTACAGTGTAGTTTGTCTGTCTCTAAGTTTGTGTTTATGTGTGTGTCAAAATGTGCAATGTTATAGATGCTGTAGGAAAACTACAAAAAAGGCTTTATTTGTGTTATTGCAGAGATATGAGGGAGATGAAGAACCTTCTCAGTAAACTCAGGGAGACAATGCCTTTACCATTGAAGAACCAAGGTAAGATAGAAGGCAAATACTTTATTTACCTTCATCCTCCACACACACTTCAACCCTATAGATCACAGACAGATCTTTTATAGTCAAAATAGCTTGAAAAAACACTGTTTCACAGCTAAAACTAGCAAAAATGATTGACTTGGCAATGGTGTCTGTGTGTTCTTGTGCCCAGATGACAGCAGTTTGCTGAACCTGACTCCCTACCCACTGGTCCGACAGAGGAAGAGGCGGTTCTTTGGGCTCTGTTGCCTGGTAACCAGCTAAGGGCCCCGCCTTCGTGGGTAGGAGGCCGCAACAAAGACACCATTACCCACTGTCCTTCACCACTTGTGTCTCCCACCAATCTATTACTGCCATTTTCAAATAAATTGTCTCTTTCTCTTTTTTTTAACGGCTGCCCATTTTATAATTTTATTTTGTAATACAAAGAAGAATTGTAACTGCAATGTAATGAAAACAAAAGTCATGAACATATATTTTAAGATATTTTGCAACAGATTTTCCCTTGTTTTGGTAAATGAAGTCAGATATCTGCTTGTCCAATGTAAAAGAGAATGAGAGGTCATTTGAAATAATGTCAATGTTAAATCACTTCCACAAACCTGAGTGAATGAAGTGAGGATTCATGTTTAAAAAAAGGGAATATAATTGTCAGTTTTTGTCAGAAATAATGTGATAACTTATAAATAGACGCCATCTGAATATTTTAGGATGGCACTTGCAAAGACAAAGCTATACCTTCGTCAGTCTAAGCTGAGATGACAGGTTTGTGCAGAGTAAGTTTGTTGTGTATTACAGTCTCTGTTTTCTGTTTCTTGCTGTTTTTTCTTCTCAATGTACTTAATTTAGTCTTCCATAAACCAAGAACCTGTACCCAACTTTAACTTTCCAGCTTCGAAATGGAATATATGATACAATACTCAAAAAGAAAAACTTCTTTGCACACAATATCTATCTATAAATTGAGACATTAGACTTGTATATACACATACTCTTTACGCAATGCTCTCTGAATTATTTTCAAAGTTGGAGTTGGTTAGCAAAGAATCTGTCGGTTGGTATGAGCAGGGAGGGTCTCCCTCTGTCTGAGGCAATCAGTGCAGATAGAGGGCAGGCAGCATGGGTCTTGCTTAGTAATGATAGTGATCAATGTTTAGGGCACGGTGAAGGTACAGTAGTCAAAGCTGATATAGGTCATTTTACATTGTTAATAAAACTTTTGTTATTGAAACTAATCGATGTGTCTCTTTGATTTTTTTTTTTTTTTTACATGTAAGCTCCTAAAAAGTCCACTGGGTGGAGACAAACTGCCAAAAGACAAACTTGTCTGACACATATTGGTGTTTTGGCTCTGCAAGAAATCGTTTGACATGGTTTCCTTTGTAAATCCTCAATAACCTCCAAATTGTAAATGTACTCCACTTATTATAATTAACACATACAGGTTAGGGGAATTAAAAAGTTCAGCCTGGCTGGGCATAAGCCCCCCACAACCCCAAACATCATAATCAGTAGTGAAGATAGATAGATGGATATAAATATAGTTATATATGTTAAAACTACTTTAGTAATCATTTGTATATATTTCTAAAGCTTTTAAAGGACTACAGATGGTAACAAATCAAAAGGAAAACCTGAATACTTCCATACAGGTCGCAAGAGGTCATTGAATGGTTTGATGAGTATGAAAAATGGTCTGAAGCATACAGTATGCTATGGTCTCCTCAGTCAGTAGATCTCAACCCAACTGAACACCCCCTGGTAGATTATGGGCCAACCTTACGCCACCATCATCAAAACACCAAAGGAGAGAGAAGCGGTGTGAATCCCTTGAATAGAGTGTGATATAAGGTGCAATGAAGCTGTTTTGGCATCTTTTGGTGGCCAAACATATTACCAATGTTGTTTTTTCCCTCTGTTTTATCCACACTCTGGGAGTGACAGCCTGCCTGTACATACCTTCCTCTCACCCACCAGCCTTTGTGTGCAACATGGTGCAACTGCACATCTGCCGCACAAAGCATTTTGGTGCGATGGGGAGACATTAAGTAGCTGGTGTCTTCACACACTCTCACAGGCAAGTTCAAGCACACACGCACACACGCACACACACATGTACTCGCACCGTGAGAGGGCAGCGAGCCAGAGGCAGGAATAGACTGTCAGCAGGGGTTTGCTTGGCGAGAGCTGTCTGGTTTAGTAAGCAGAGGAGATCTTTTGAAATAGTCCATCTTAGTACAGAACACATATATTCAAACATTATCTCAAGAGACATTACAAAACTATTTTCCTCAAAACCAAGACCTACTTTTTGCAGTCTTTTGTGGATGCAACTCAAATGGTATATAACATTTTAAGAAATTAAGGTGTTTTATAACACTGCTGAATCTATAATGATAGTACATCCATAATTATGTTTTCTGGGCCATTCTCTAGTTCTCAATATACTGGATTTGACAAAAAAAGTACAACCATGAGAAGGAATTGAGCTTTACTATTACTTTACTATTTTTTTGTTGTGTTGATACTGTTACATTTTGTTTCATACATGCATAATAGCGTGACATTACAGTGATTTAAGTAGTTATACTTGAAACAAAATTAATTCAGTCAAAAAATATAACTGATGATGCATGTGTAAAGGAAGATGAAAATTAGTGGTCATAAGCTCAGCCCACATCCTGCATCCTTAGGAAGTGCAGGGCTGGATACTAAAAACTGACACCTTTTCTCCTTTACATCGACGTAATCCTGCTTCACACTCACTCATGGTCTGAGTGGCCGCAGTTGCATCCTCCCCAATACGGACACACACATTAAATCCTGGGGTCAAGCAAAGTGCAGAGTCCTTGCAGCGGCACTCATTGGTTTGATCTGTAAGAATGGTGTAAAGATATAGGAAATGAATGACCACAATACTGCACATGAGTATGGATTGTATGTAACCTCGGACGTCCCTACCGTCACAGGTCTCCCACATGTGACAGTTGGTACAGCCTGCTGTGTTGCGCTGCGGCCAGTTGCAGTTGCTGTCTTCTGCTGCCGTGAATTGCTTTCCCACACACTGCAGTGCGTGCACTTTGCACACAGTCAGAAGGGATGATTTTCTGCTACCCTCAGCAGCAGTGGCACACAACTCCAAAGAAGAACTGGTGATAAAAAAACAACATTATCTTTATATAAATATGACAACAACAGCAAGAAAATCTGACAAATCAGTCCAATTTGCAAAAATTCACATGTCAAAATTAAAGCTTAATAAACATACCCGCACTCATAGGGCAATTTGCAAACACATTTTCCTCTAGAAGCCTTCTCCCACAGTTTACATTGGGTAGGAATATGTTCTTGTGGTATGCTGACTGTGGAATACAAAGAAATCATTGTTCCACATTGCTGACTGACCAATATTCATGCATGCAAAATAAAAATATAGTGTATATAGAACAATAAAGTCTTAGTGTAAATGAATATACTGCACTCAAATCTTGTTACTCGGCAGTCCCTTGTCTATTATATGAACCTTTACCTGGGTAACACTTACCTGGGTTGCATTTAACGTCTGCTGGGTTTGGTGAAAAATTCAGACTGGAGTCACAAATAATTGTTGCTTCTCCTTGTAGCTGTCTACCCTCTGGACAGGACAAGGTGACTGTCTCCCCTATGCTATAGGCCTGCTTTAATGGAGAGGCTATGACATCATTAGCGAGGGACTCGATCCTGCACCTTGAAACTGTGACAAAAGTTGGAATTTAACAGGGTTATGTGTTACATTCAATGTGGTGAATGTTAAACTTTGGTTATGGGCACTCACCCACACACAGTCCAAGTCTGGAAGACCAGGTTTGACCAACAGTGCATTCCAAGGTGTTGAGACCAACAAAATGGTAACCTTCAGTGCAGGTGTACTGAATCCTACTACCCACAAGGTAAATGTCCTTAGGGTCCTTTGGAACATGGTAAAAAGGTGGTTCAATTCATCATAATTAGTTCTGATGTTTGTGTAAAAATCATTCAAAATTAAGGTACTAAAATATAAATATCAAATGTGACCCTGTCACTGAGCCAGGTTCATTTCACTTTAAAGTAGACACCTTAATTATTCAATTTCATAGCCTCCATTATGTAAAAATATCCTTTTAAATATCTGACTGTAAATATAAATCCCCCATGGAACCCACACTAAAACATCTCCTACAATGGTGCCTGTTTTTCCATGTTAGGTCTCAAATGTGGTTAGACTAGATTATTAGGTTCACGAAATGACTTAATTTCTGTGTATTAAAAGTAATTAAATTACATGATGAATTACACTCTACTGTGTACTGCCTTCTGGGTAATACTGAATACCAGAAAAGTTGCATTTAGTGTGATTATGAACATATTAAAAGTTTGTTTCACAATGTACGGTAAACTCAAGTTTGGCCTCATCTTTACCAGGATGTAGCCATTGATGAGAGCAGGCGGGGTTCCACAATTCTGTCTTGCTGGGAGAGTTCGATCAAAGCACTGAGGCTCCATGGTTCTGAAGAAAAGTTGTTAAAAACAGGATGTTGTATAACTGCGTATTGACAAAAATCAGTGTGAAACTTCCTCTTGTTGAATTCAATTGCAATGACTGGTGATGCCTGTTACACTGATGTTACAAAATTCATACTGCATAATAACATTTCAACTCGCTCTGACTTTAAGTGTTGCAGATCTTGGTCTTCACATTCAGACGTTTCAGTGGGTTCTCCAATACAGGCTTGTCCTCCATTCTGAGGAATGGGATTAGAGCAGGAACGACTTCGTGACCTTTGACCCCCAGAGCACAATGACCAGGCAGACCAGCACGACCAACTACCATGGATAACTCCTTAGATTTACGAAATAAACAAGGTTAAGATCATAAGATCGTAAGAATCATATCATTATTCAATCAAGAGTGAGACAAGTGACTTAAAGGGACTTCATGGAGACAGTTTATTATATACTACAAGCTCAGAAAAAGTAAATTTACACGTCCACAGCGGCAAGAAGACAAATAAATATAGTTCCCAAAATGTCAGATAATTCTTTTAAACATATCAGACCATATTCATTGAGATCAAACTGGCTACAGTAGTGAAGAATCTGTCTGATATGCACCACCCACCTGGCTGACCCTCCTCTTCAGTTCCCCTCTCACAGGCCAGTCCTTCTGTGCCAGGTTTACAGATGCATTTGCATTCATTTCCATCCATGAAAGCCAGGCCATTGTTGCTGCAGGGACGGCAGTGGCAGGGGTCGCTCTCAGCAAGATACTGCTCTATGGCTCTGCGAAGGTAGAGCCTCTTTACCCCAGCACACTGAACTTCCTTCACCAGCTCTGACAGTGGCCGCAGCTGCCGAAAACAAGAGTTGGGGTGAGAGAGTCAAACTGAAGAGAGATCGAAAGGTTGTATAATTTTTTAGGATGATATACTAAAATGCACATAAAGTAAATCTAACATTATGTTCAAGGTTCTTAAGTTCAAAGAGCTTATTTTACTTTCCCTTACCTTTTTTTTTGTGACCTTTGGAAATGACCTGATAGAGTCAGCCCAGTTTGAGTACAGTTCCTGGTTCCTGTTTTGATCATAGGGCCGCATTGCTTCCAGTGATATGCCATATTGGGGGTCTCCTCCCTCCACTCGCACATTCGGCTTTTCATTGTGTCTTGAAACACCTATTTTAAAAAGGTTAGCAGAGATAATCAAGGACAAAGATTCAGAAATTCAAGAGCTTTTAAAAGCTCTAGTATGTTTGTAGAATTAACATAAAATCTTACCACTAGCTGTAGATGTATGGCTATTCCCACTTTTGCAATCGTTTTTTCGGACGGGGATAAATAAATACCAACGTACACTTCTATCACATTCGTGATACACAGTGCTCTCAGACTCTTGGAAATAAAGGAAAGACAAATGTAAAACAAAATTTAAATGCAGAAATGAACAGCAGGATTGGGGCAATGCTTTATGGATGGAGTAGTAATTTATATCAAGCTGAGGTTTGGTTTGGCATTAGAAAACTACTACTACTAATTATTTTAATACAGTACAGTTGCCTCCAACTACAGTAGCTACAGTTTCATTGACATACTGAACATTGTAAAAAATCCAAATAAAGGGGATCCAGTGTTGATTTGAAAATTCATAGAAAGTGTGAAAAAAGTGGTGCCATATTGCATTAAAAAAATTATCCAGAATATATTTTCTGAAATATGATGCATTTTCTTTCCTAAATATATAAGAAAATATATTGATATTCATTTTCAAATGAATTCCATGTTTATTGCAATTGGTAAATGGTGAGAAACACACTATTTTATGCAGTATATTACTAAGAAAGACATTAGAGAAAACCATTAGAAGAGATATGGAATAGGGAGATAGAATGGCTTGATGTTAAGGACCAGAACATTAATTAAAAGGTACTTTGTTCACCACATGTTCCATTATAAACAAGAGCATAGGTTTGCATATGGACAGTAGGGTCATGTTCCTACCAATATTTTAGGAGGACAGAATTGCCCCTAGCAATATTTGAGCAAACGAATGCGCAATATGTTTGGAGAAAATTTATGCCTATGACTTCATGGGTTTGGGAGTTTGCGTACTCTCCCTGTCCCTGTGTGGGTTCTCTCTGGGAACTATGACTTCCTAATACAGTCCAAAGACATGCACATTAGGTTAATTAGCAATTCTTCTTTTTTATGCCTTACTATACTATGACATTTTTATGCCTTACTATACTATGACGTTTTTATGCCTTACAGTACTATGACGTTTTAATGCCTTACTACGCTATGAAGTGTTTATGCTTACTATACAATGACTTTTACACCTAATGATACTATCACTTTTTATACCTTACTATACTATGACTTTGTATGACTTACTATATTATGATTTTTTTATGCTTTAATATACTATGATATTTTTATGACATTTTTGAAGGCTTCCTATAGTATGACATTTTCATGACATTTTTGATAACTTACTATGAGGTTTTTATGACATTTTTCAATGACTATATTATGACGTTATCATGATATTTTTGAAGCCTTATTATGAAGTGACGTTTTTATGGTATTTTTGATGCCTTACTATGACGTTTTCATGACATTTTTGATACCTTACCATGCCTATGACACCTTACTATTTGATACCTTATATTTTTGATACTTACTATGACGTTTTTATGACATTTTTGATGACTTCCTATAACTATGATACTGTATCTTAATGACATATGACATTTTTACTATACTATGACGTTTTTAGTACATTTTTAATGACTTTCTATAAGTATGATATCTTAATGACATATTGACTTAATATTCTATGACATTTTTAATGACTTAATATGGTATGTCTTTTTTTATGACACTTTGAAGACTTACTTTAACTATGATGTTTTTATGACATTTTTGATACCTTACTATGCTATGACATTTTTAATCCTTCATGATACAAGGATGTTTTTAGGACATCACGACTTACTATAGTATGACTTTTTTTATGACATTTTTGATGCCTTACTATACTATGACATTCTTAGTATCTTTTTAATAACTTACTATACTATGATGTTATTATGACATTTTTGATGCCTTATTATACCATGATATCTTAAAGTTATTTTTGATGACTAAATATACTATGACGTTTTTATGAAATTTTGATGACTTACTATAGTATGACATTTTAATGACATTTTTACTATACTATGATGTTTTTAGTACATTTTTTATGACTTACTATAACTATGATTTCTTAATGATATATTTAGTGACTTAATATACTATGATGTTTTCATGACATTTTTGATACCTTATGACATTTGTATGACATTTTTAATCCTTTATGATGCTAGGATGTTTTTATGATATTTTTGACAACTTAATATGGTATGTCTTTTTTATGAAACTTTTGATGACTTACTATAACTATGATGTTTTTATGACATTTTTGATACCTTACTATGCTATGACGTTTTTTTGTGACTTTTTATGTTTTACTATACTATGATGTTTTTATGACTATTTATGCCTTACTATACTATGACTTTTTATGCCTTGCTATACTATGATGTTTTTATGACTTTTTATAACTTACTATACAATGACTTTTTATGCCTTACTATACTATGACTTTTTATGTCTGACTATACTATTTCGTTTTCATGACTTTTTATGACTTACTATACTATGAAGTTTTTATGACTTTTTATGCCTTATTATACTATGATGTTTTTATGCCTTACTATAATATGACGTTTTTATGCCTTACTATACTATGTCGTTTTTATGCCTCACTATACTATGTTGTTTTTCTGATTTTTTATGCCTTACTATACTATGTGGTTTTTATGAGGTTTTTATGCCTTACTATAATATGAAATTTTTATGACTTTTTATGCATCACTATACCTTGACTTTTTATGCCTTACTATACTATGACGTTTTTATGACTTTTTATGCCTTACTATACTATGACGTTTTTATGACTTTTTATGCCTTACTATACTATGACGTTTTTATGACTTTTTATGCCTTACTATACTATGACGTTTTTATGACTTTTTATGCCTTACTATACTATGACGTTTTTATGACTTTTTATGCCTTACTATACTATGACGTTTTTATGACTTTTTATGCCTTACTATACTATGACGTTTTTATGACTTTTTATGCCTTACTATACTATGACGTTTTTATGACTTTTTATGCCTTACTATACTATGACGTTTTTATGACTTTTTATGCCTTACTATACTATGTTGTTTTTCTGATTTTTTATGCCTTACTATACTATGACTTGTTATGCCTTACTATACTCTGTGGTTTTTATGACTTTTTATGCCTTACTATAATATGACATTTTCATGACTTTTTATGCCTTACTAATCTATAACTTTTTTCTGATTTTTTATGCCTTACTATACTATGACGTTTTTATGAAGTTTTTATGCCTTACTATACTATGACATTTTTATGACTTTTTATTACTTACTGTAGTCTGACTTTTGATGCCTTACTATACTATGACTTTTTATGCCTTACTATACTATGACGTTTTTATGACTTTTTATGCCTTACTATACTGTGACTTTTTATGCCTTGCTATACTATGACCTTTTATGCCTTAATATACTATGACGTTTTTTTGAAGTTTTTATGACTTACTGTACTATGACTTTTTATGCCTTACTATAATATGACGTTTTTATGACTTTTTATGCCTTACTATACTGTGAGTTTTTATGCCTTACTATACTATGACCTTTTATACCTTAATATACTATGACATTTTTATGACTTTTTATGTCTTACTATACTGTCGTTTCATTGACTTTTTATGCCTGACTAATCTATGACTTTTTTATGACTTTTTATGCCTTACTATACTATGACATTTTTTATGACTTTTTATGACTTACTATACTATGACTTTTTATGCCTTACTACACTACGACGTTTTTTTGACTTTTTATGCCTGACTAATCTATGACTTTTTAATGACTTTTTATGCCTTACTATACTATGACGTTTTTAGGACTTTTTATGCCTTACCATACTATGACTTTTTGTGCCTTAGTATACAATGACGTTTTTATGACTTTTTTGCCAAACTATACTATGTTGTTTTTATGACTATTTATGACCTACTATACTATGACTTTTTATGCCTTACTATACTATGACTTTTTATGCCATACTATGACATTTTTTGTCATTTTTATGCCTTAATATAGTATAACGTTTAATGCCTTACCATATTATGATGTTTTTATGACATTTTGTGCCTTTATATACTATTACGTTTTTTGACATTTTATGCCATACTATACTATGACGTTTTTTGTCATTTTTGTGACTTAATGTAGTATAACGTTTAATGCCTTACCATACTATGATGTTTTAATGACATTTTGTGCCTTAATATACTATGATATTTTTTTGACATTTTATGCATTACTATACTATGACGTTTTTTGACATTTTATGCCATACTATGCTATGACGTTTTTTGACATTTTTATGCCTTAATATGCTATGACGTTTAATGCCTTAATATACAATGATGTTTTTTTTGACATTTTGGGCCATACTATACTATGACGTTTTTTGACATTTCATGCCA